CAAGACAAGGGATTTAATTTTGTGGTCAAGATTGTTGATAACAGCGTAGTGTAGAAGGGAGAATAACAGGATTTTCTTTATACAACTTGGGGAGAAGAAATTGAGATTTTGGGAAAGTCAAGGATAGAGAAAACGAAAGATGATTGAAAATAGAGAGAGAGCAGAAGGTGATGAAAAGTGGTGTTCTGTGCACCATGAACTCTCTTTTTCCCCCTCCCAAAGTTTTCAATACCTAGAAAAATTAAGGAAACGTCTTATAGCAACTAAAATCACCTGGTAGCGGGTCCCAGTCGGACACATCACCAAAGAGCTGCTTGGCCACTGGGAGAGCCCTAGAGTTGCTTCTGCTGTCTTCCTTCTTCCGGCCCTAATCTTGACTCCTCAGGCCACAGTCAAGTACTTCCCCCAAAACACAGAGGAAGGTAAAGTCACCCTTGTTCCTAAAGGGGCAAATACTTTCCAGTTTCCCCCCAAATAAATTCTGTGACCCTGGGATTCCTTTCTGACACTCACCTCCCAGATCCAATTACCTTCCATGACCAAATGCTCTTTGAACATTTTCTAAAACTCAGCAGTCTTTACATCCTCTGCGTTTGTCCTCACTATTTCCACGGCCTGGGAGGACCTTTGTTCTCCTAAGACAGGGCCACATACCGATCGTCTGTCAAGGACAGGCCCACACCTGCTTTCCTCTTCACTTCTTACTGTGACATTCCCTGGGACTGCACTGTATCACTCTCTTTCCTTTATTTTCATAGGAAAAGCCAAGCATTTAATTGATACTCTTTGACGTTTGTAAAACTAATAAGTTATTGCCCTCTTATACAGAATCCTGGAGTGTGATTAAGGGACTCCACTTGAAATATCATGGAGAATGATTATGAATAGTCTTAGTATTTCATGTAACTTCTGTAATATTCCTAGAAATTGTGTACAGTCAGGATTGATGACCAGTGCTGTTAAGTATCCAAAGGGTATCTAATGCTGGAATTTGCAAATGTTCTTTTGGAGTGAAGAGAATTATGTTATTTGTGCTGATTGAAGAATTGCTAGAGAAAGAAAATTATGGTACAGTAATATTCATAAAGACTCATAATCCTGCAAAAAACTTCCTCACCGTAACCACACTTTTCACAATCACATTTTTAAAGATTTGGTGAGGGTGGAATATAGTTAAAGGTGCTTGTTAATTACCCTTGATAAAATCAACCTAAATCAACCTAAAACATTGAAAAAGAAAAAACTAGTTTTGCTCAGTAATGGAATCTTATCATTCTTGACAATGAAAAGATATTATGTGTTTGTGAGTGTGTGTGTGTGTGTGTGAGTGTGAATGTGTGTGTGTGTTTTCTTGTGGCTATTCACTCACATAGAAATAGTTTCTCCCCTGGTGGCATTTTATGAGGTGCTGGGTCACTGGCAGAGCTCCTAAGCACTTCTAGGTAAGGATAGGAAATAGTAGACCTAACTGAATCTGCCTAAGTTATAGCTGATAAGATAGTTTATTTCAAGATTTTATAAATTGAGAAATAAATTTGTAAAATCAAAAAATCCTCTTTATAAAATGTGCTAACTAAAATTTGTGAATAAACTAAATACAACGTGTGAAAAGATGTGGGTCTGACTAATCAAAGGGAGCTCTGCAATGTAGTATTTTCAGCCCAGATTGGCTTGATATTGTCACATTGTTTCATCCTGTGACCTGTATAATTCTGGCTCCTCTCTTCCATCTTAGGATGCTCATTGCTATAATGTAACAGTAATTTATTGTGCAATCAAGATGTGTCCTTTTGTCTCCACTGGCCAAGGGTGAATTTGAAGTTCCACCCTAAATCAGCCCTTACGGGAAAGCAATAGAGAAGGTGTGTGTGAGATAATGGGGTCTGCAGGGGTTGGAGTGGGGGCATCCCTGTTCTTAACTTGGACAATCCTGAGCTCAACAGGTCAGGTGTGAATCCATGGGGCTGTGGAACGTTGGCCACTTGGGGGCGCTGTGGCCCCACAATGCTGCAGGGAACCCTGGTGAGGGGTGTGAGGGTGGCCAGGAAAGGGAGGGTGGAAGGGAAAGCCTGGCTGCCTTTTGGCATCAGGAGATTAGGTGCATATTAGAGTAGGTTCTGGCCTGGGACTGCCCAGGGAAAGGTAGGGCTGGGATTTCACCAAGCAAGGAGTGTCTCTGCCTCTGCATGGGCAGTAGAGGGTGTAGGGGCTGGGGTGGCAAGGGCTGGGAATCAGTGTCAGGGCAGGGACAGGGTGGGCAGAGGAAAGTGAAGTGTGATGTGGGCATGTGGGGACTATGCCCAACCACCTGCCCTTTAGTTGAGGGTCTGTGCGGGACAGGAATGCTGCGTGGAGCTGCTGAGCCTGGGTCTTCAATGGGTGAACAAGGCAAGACTGGCCTGCAGAGACAGTACCTGGAAAAGGCCAAGGCAAGGAATTGGGTGACACTTTTCTACCCCCACTCAGGGAGTGATCTGAGGAGGGTGCTGCCAGCCAGAGGGGCTCAGGTCCTGGTGAGCTGACAGGCTTTTCCCCCAGACACTTCCTGTTGCTTCTATATATGATCTGGTTAAATGCTCACTGAAATCATGTAAGGTAGGTATCATTTCACCTGTTTATACATTCGAAGGAAAGCAGCCGTCCTGGGTCTCATATTAAGTAATTGGCTGAGGTGTTTTCCTCCGACACCTCTGCACCAGCCGTCTCCCCCGACTCTATATATCTGTCCCTTCATCTGGCTTCCCCTTTCCAGGTCGCATTAGCAGGAGGGCAAGGTGGTGCCTCATATGTGACCATTATAACCTCTTCCCTGACAAGTCCAAGGAACACGTGACTTCCAGGCCAAGCGTATCCATTCACCTTTCATTGAAGCAAAACAGAAGGATGAAATTTTCCGCACTGTAGACTTCCTGTAACTGATACAATCTACCTTGAGGAAAAGTAACAAGAAAAATTGTTATTCATTCCTTATTATTTTATTTATTTTATTTGATATATGTTTGGAGGTCCTTTCTTTGTATAGATATTTTATGACAAAAAATGCAAAATGAAAAAAGAACAAATGAAAATAAAAAAGAAAAGCTTTAAAGAATGATAAATATGTTTCTTACCTTTTAGAGTATTAAGGTTTGCATTAATTTTTTTTAACTTATTCAAAGTAGTTTGTTCAGTTTCTGAATTATACAGCTTTCCTTTTTTTCTTCTCTTTCTCTCCTTAGCCACCTACACCTTTTTCTGCCAGCTTTTTTAGTTTAATAACCGAAGGCTATCTTTTAAACTGAATTTTTTTTTTTTTTTTGAGACGGAGTCTCGCACTGTCGCCCAGGCTGGAGTGCAGTGGCGCGATCTCAGCTCACTGCAAGCTCTGCCTCCCGGGTTCACACCATTCTCCTGCCTCAGCCTCCCGTGTAGCTGGGACTACAGGTGCCCACCACCGCACCCGGCTAATTTTTTGTATTTTTAGTAGAGACAGGGTTTCACCGTGTTAGCCAGGATGGTCTCGATCTCCTGACCTTGTGATCCACCCGCCTCGGCCTCCCAAAGTGCTGGGATTACAGGCGTGAGCCACCGCGCCCGGCCCTAAAGACATTTTTAAATGTACAATATAGTATCGTAATCTACAGACACAAAGTTGGACAGTAGATCTCTAAAACTTCCTCATCCTTCTTTATTGAAATTTTATAGCCACTGACGGCAGCCGCCCATTTGTCCCACTGCCCAGCCTGTGGAAATTATCATTTTTCATCTTCACTTACATGAGTTTGACTTTTAGGTTGCCTCATATAAGCACAATCATGTAGTATTTGTCTTTCTGTGCCTCACTTTTTCAACTCAGCATAATGTCCTCCAGGTTTAGCCACATTGTCAGGTATGGCCAGATTTTCTTCTTTTTAATGCTTAATGATATTCCTCTGTACGCATATACCACATTTTAAGGTCTGAATATTAAATATATAGTATCTTATTGTTTCTGTGAAACCATCTGTCACACGAGCGGCAGGGTCGTTTGCAGAACAGCAAGCACTGAGTATATGAGTGCACGTTCATTCGAAGTTCAATTCTGTTTCATAGAGAAGACTTCAAAAAAATAATAATTTCATTATTTATTGTTATTTTACTATACAAAATTAGAATTTCTTTTTTCTTTTTCTTTTCCTTTTTTTTTCCGATACACAGTCTCACTTTGTCACCCAAGCTGGAGTGCAGTGGCATGATCTCAGCACACTGCAACCTCCGCCTCCCAGGTTCAAGTGATTCTCCTGCCTCAGCCTCCTGAGTAGCTGGGATTACAGGCGTACACCACCATGCCTGGCTAATTTTTTGTATTTTTAGTAGAGACGAGATTTCACAGTGTCAGCCAGGATTGTCTCAATCTCCTGGCCTCGTGATCCGCCCACCTCGGCCTCCCAATGTGCTGGGATTACAGGTGTGAGCCACCGCACCCAGCCAATACCATAAAATATTTAGCATATAGTAGAAATCTAGCTATTTTTATTTCCTTCGCTAATCTCAGGCAGCCTCTTCCACTGTGCCAATGTCCAAAGGCAGATAAAGACACATTTTGCCTGGAAATCTTAGGGTAAGGGCTCAGGAAGTCACAAAAATGGCAATATATATGCATGATGATTACTTTGAAAGTATTAACTAGAGAAAATAGCATATATCCCACCTCAGACATTTAAAACTCAATATTATTGATATATAAGTTATATAAACATTACAAATTTTAAATAAACAGATCGGTTATACGTAACTAAATAATTAACAGAATGAGGAGCTCCTGAAAAGTTGTATGGTTTTAAAAGTGAAGTCAAGTGAGCTACCAGATCTACATTAGGGACAATTCTATCTGGACATGGATGTTGTGATAAAACAACCTCAAAAGGTCTTCCAAGCTGGTACAGGCTGATTTTACAAAGTTTATTTATTCATTTTCATTCGTCTCTTTTCTTATCTGCTCATTTACTCAGATTATTTTATAATGATATTTTGGCAAAAATTAATCATCTTTAAGGGAAATATTTTGAGTTTCATCAGACACATACGCAGCTGAGCTTTGTGTCCACACACTGAGTGCCCTGGGGCCAAACAAAACACGGTAATAGTGACCTTGCTGAGAGATGATGTCACATTGGGAGAAAGGTTCCCTTTGTATTGACTCTAAGTGTCCAGTTCATGAGTCCTAAGCCTTGAGCTAGGAAATGCCCTTTTCTGCCCTGGGAAGCAGGCTCCTAGATTGTGTGTTTCTCTGTCTCCTGGTCTAGCCTGGGCACAGACAGGGCACCCCCTCATGAACTTGTTACATCCGGGCTGTGACTTTCAGCACCAGGTGGTCCTTTGCTCTGACTTCAATTTCTGTGTCCTTCTCTCCTAAACCCCATGGATGCTGAGTGACTCAGACTCCAGTCATGTGCTTGTGCCAAAAGGAAACCAGCACGAGAGGAGGTGAGCAGAATATGAAACCAAACCATGTACTCAAGACAGTCAATGAGACTTACTGGCAGTTCCTTTGCTCACATATTGTAAGGAAGTTGAAGATCATGACAATGTTATAGCAACAGGGGTCTTTGTGAGTGTGGAGCTCTGTGCACTAAGATACGGTTTTTGAGCTTTTTTTTTTTGAGACAGAGTCTTGCTCTGTTGCCCAGGCTGGAGTGCAGTGGTGCAATCTTGGCTCACTGCAACCTCGTCTCCTGGGTTCATGTGATTCTCTTGCCTCAGCCTCCTGAGTAGCTGGGATTACAGGTGTGCACCACCATGCTGGGCTAATTTGAGCTTTTTTTTTTGAGACAGAGTCTTGCTCTGTTGCCCAGGCTGGAGTGCAGTGGTGCAATCTTGGCTCACTGCAACCTCGTCTCCTGGGTTCATGTGATTCTCTTGCCTCAGCCTCCTGAGTAGCTGGGATTACAGGTGTGCACCACCATGCTGGGCTAATTTTTTATTATTATTATTATTATTACTATTATTATTTTGTATTTTTAGTAGAGACGGGGTTTCACCATGTTTGTTAGACTGGTCTTGAACTCCTGATCTCATGATCCGCACACCTCAGCCTCCCAATGTGTTGAGATTACAGGCATGAGTCACCGTGCCCGGCCTTTTGTTTGTTTTTTTTTTTTAATTGTTACTGAATTAGTGGTGAGAATCCTGACCAAGGGAATATTCCCTATGAAATATGACACTTCAAATAAAATGAGAGCACTTTTTCTTATCAGGATAAGAAACAAGATAAGCCTGCCTCCTCTCTCCTCTCCCCACGTACCTCACACATCAAGACACGCTTGTGCCCACAGATCATGGGCAGTGCTGGGCAGCCACCTTCATCCACACAGAGAGGGCAGTCAGAAGCGTGAGGTGGTTCTGCCTGCTGGGGTCTCACCCCAGGCACAGAAAACAACAGCCCTGGCTGGAGCTGAAGGTGCTCAGCTGGGCTTGTCAGGAGTCCCATCTGTCAGTGAAATGACAAGAAACAGAACAAAACGACTCCTCCAAAGTTGATGAGCCTGCCCCTGGGATTTGGAAACTTGGTAACAGAGAAAACCAATATAGACAAAAGATTGTAAACAGGATTAAGGTCAGCTAAAATTAGAAAAGGATACTTGAAGGAGTATTTGGGACACAGGAGTCAAAAACACCAGGAAGACATGAGGAGCGTCCGTAAGTGTCTAAATTAGAGAAATATTTAGGTAACTAACACCAGTGTATGAATGAGGAATTATATCATCACAGGGATAAAATTTACATTGAGTTACAAACTGCTTACAAAAAGGCTAAGAAAAGCTTGCAAGGTTGTGTCAATTCAGACAAAGGCATTCTTCCCATCCAAACTGTTCACTGGTGCATTTATTGTGAATTTGACCATCTAGGGAAGAGGTGTGGCCTCTCCTGACAGGAAGGCTCTGGGGCCCAGGGAGGGAGAGTGACATCTCAGAATGACTCCCTTGACAGTCCTGTTCCCCTTTCATCAATGCACAGACCCAGAAGATCCCTCTGTCCTGTAGCACCTGCCATGAGCATCGGCCTCCTGTGCTGTGCGGCCTTTTCTCTCCTGTGGGCAGGTGGGTCCTGGGCAGGGCCCCTGTCTGGAATTCAAGGCCCAGCGCCTTCCCTTTGGGGCTGCAGCATCAGCTTTGTCCTTCTCTGCAGGTCCTGCAAATGCTGGTGTCACTCAGAGCCCAAAATTCCAGATCCTGAAGACAGGACAGAGCATGACAGTGCAGTGTGCCCAGGATATGAACCATAACTCCATGTACTGGTATCGACAAGACCCAGGCATGGGGCTCAGGCTGATTCATTACTCAGCTGCTGAGGGTACCACTGACCCAGGAGAAATCCCCGATGGCTACAGTGTCTCCAGATTAAACAAAACGGATTTCCTGCTCAGGCTGGAGTCCGCTGCTCCCTCCCAGACATCTGTGTACTTCTGTGCCAGCAGTGAAGACACAGTGCTGCACGGCCGTCTCCTCTCTGTACATAAAGGCAGGGAGGCTCTGCCCTCCTCTCTCACCCCAAACTCAGTGATGCCCTGAGCAGAGTTCTCTGCACCAGGGACCTTGAAACTCCATCATCATGGGTCTGAGGCCCCCAGGATGAAACAGGATTTGTATTTCAGATCCATCTAGACTCTTGTCTCTCCCTGGGGATCGTGTTGCTTCCTCTCTCTAGGGTTTCCCCCAGCCTACACTCTCATGTGGTCTCTTCTGTAGCCCACCTTTCCCATCTGGGCAGTGACCCTCCAAGGCCTTGCTGTGTCTCTCCTCCCCTCACCTCCCCGCCTCTCTCTACTGCAGCCGTGAGGGGAGTCCCTCTTCTGTGCCTCCTTCATTCCCATCGCAGAGACTTCAAAGGCCATTTTCTCTGCCCTGGGCTGGAGACTTCGTTTCTGCAGTGGCCAGCTCCTACCTGTGCTTCAGACCGCAGCATGATCAGCCCTCCTGTGGGAAGCACGCCCTTGCCTCCCAGCTGAGATCAATTTTTCTGTTATAAGCACTGATGGTAACGAGCGCTGATGTGCTCGTTAGTCAATAGAGTAGTTGGAGTTTTCCAGTTACTTGTCTGGATATTTTTCTGCTCAACTCGATTTTAAACTCCATAAAGGCAAAGGCTGTGCTTGTTACATTTACCAACAGCTGTTCCTGGCATGAAGGGAGACCTATTTCACAGATAATGGATGAGTTAATGAATGACAGGCTGATTGAGTGACGAGCAGGTGGATGAACCAATAACAGGAACACTCCAGGTCCGCTGTACCCTGGCAGAGATCTAGAGTTAACTGTGCCTGAGATGCTCTGCTATGAGCTTATCAAAGGACACTTGCTTGTTGAACAAGCATTGGACCATTCATTGTGTAAGCCAGTTTGTCAGTTCGTCTAGGAATTTCCAATTTAAAATATCACATGCTCTTCAAACTCAATGAGGGTAAAGTCTACATTATATAAGTCTAATATCTAAGGGTTTTTTTTTAAGTTTTGGGCTAAGAACCAAAAAGGAAAGAAGAGGGAATATCTTTAGACTTAGTATTTTTTTATTGAAAATGTATTTATATAATTTTTTCTTGGAAGAACAGGTAGGGGAAGTCATGACTACACAGCCTTCTAAGTGCTAATTTATGGAGACGGTATCATGAAAAATAACAACTATAAGAACTGTGTTCTGGAGGGAACATTGTGGCTGTCCTGAGAGTACGTTCTGACCCCAGGAACCAAAGCCAGGAGAGTATTTGGCAACTCAGAGTGCAGCAGACAATTCTTGGCCCCCTGTATTTGGGATGAGACTGGAGACAGCTGGAAAAGCTATGGGCTGGACGTTCTGCACTCTCAATGCAGGCCTCTCTGAAATCCCACAGATTAATGTCAGGTAAATGTACTCCCACTATTAAGACAAAGCCAGAACCAATGAAGAAAAATGAGTAGAAACAATACGCAGTTGAAATGTATGAAGACAAGGAATTTTGCCATTAAAAGTTATAAAAGTTAAAGAGCCATATTTAAAGGAATACAGGAGCAAATTGATATGTGAACAAGAAAAAGGAGACTGTCACAAATCATCAAGGAAACATGAAAAATAATCAAAGAGAATACAGTAATGATTAAGATTATCATTGAAAACAAAGTGGAAATGAAGAAAAGATGACATGCTTCAAAAGAGATTGTTACTGAGGTCAAAGCCAGATCTGAAGAAGTTACCTAGAATGCAGCACAGAAAATTAAATAGGAAACAAGAAAAGGTAAGGGATAAGGAATAAAAATCTTGTGGGTTCTAGTATATTGGGATATATATAATATTTTGTTGGAACTTCCCATTTTTCTTACACATCATTGAAGTGTCACAAAGAGAAAGTAGAGAGAATGATAGGTGATAATTATGAGACATTAACTGAGAATTTTCAAGATGTGTTTCAGGACCTAAATCCTCTGTTTCAACAAGTTAAATGAATATGTAGTAGATGAATACATATGTTATAGTGAAATTGTGGAACACAAATGACAAAGAGAAGATTTTAAAAGTAGCCCAAAAGATAGCTATCTCCCAGAAGAATAGACTGAAAGGCACAATGAAAGTCAAGAAAGGAGATTAAAAATAAGTATCAAGTCAGAATTATAATTCTCGTTCATTAAATACTGAGATTGAAGTAAATATATTTATAGGTAGAGAAAGAAAAAACACTGAGTTTGTCACCAAGGTATCCTTTCTGAATTATAGTTAACAAAGATGGGAGGTAGTCCCAGAAGAGAGGGATGAGGTGCCTCTCATGAGGGAACCCATGTGATGGGACAGTCCCGTGGGGCACGTGTGACTGGGGGATGGAGGAGGCTGGCGCATGAATGGGGATGGTACAGGGGATTGCAGGAAAGACAATGAGCTCACCGTTTGGTGCCTTGTGTTGGTGGAGCTGTTGACACATCCTAGAGAACATGCCCAGCAGACAGGGGAGCGGCTGTGGGATGAGGAGGTGAACTCAGAGATGCAGCGTGAGGCCTCCGGATCCAGACAGCGTGGGATCCCAAAGTGATGATACATGCGTTGATGTTGTTAAAAAGGAATTTTTTTTTTTTTTTTTTTTTGAGACGGAGTGTCGCTCTGTCGCTGAGGCTGGAGTGCAGTGGCACAATGTCAGCTCACTGCAAGCTCCGCCTCCCAGGTTCCAGCCGTTCTCCTGCCTCAGCCTCCCCAGTAGCTGAGACTAGAGGCGCCCGCCACAACGCCCGGCTAATTTTTTTGTATTTTTAGAAGAGACGGGGTTTCACCGTGTTAGCTAGGATGGTCTCCATCTCCTGATCTCATGATCCACCCGTCTCGGCCTCCCAAAGTGTTGGGCTTAAAGGCGTGAGCCACCACACCCGGCCTAAAAGGAATTTATAGGCCGGGCGTGGTGGCTCACACCTGTAATCCCAGTACTTTGGGAAACCAAGGTGGGTGGATCACTTGAGGTCAGGAGTTTGAGAACAGCCTGGGTAATATGGTGAAACCCCGTCTCTACTAAAAATACAAAAATTAGCCTGGTATGGTGGTGCGAGTCTGTAATACCAGCTACTCAGGAGGCTGAAGCAGGAGAATCACTTGAACCCAGGAGGCAGAATTTGCAGTTAGCGGAGATCACACTACTGCACTCCATTCTGGGCAACAGAGCAAGGCTCTGTCTCAAAAAACAAACAAGCAAAAAGCAAGGACCTCACAAATATTTAAAGAAGTCATTTAAGTGTGTTCTAATGTAAATCCTTTGTTCCTGTCATTGCGTGGATTGAGAGAGGAAGTGATGTCACGGTGGGTACTTCCGTGTAAGGACAGGAATGTCCCTCTTTCTCTGCTCCTGCTTATGGTGACTCTTATCTTGCAAAGCTCCCACCCTGCCCTGACTCTGCCATGGGCACCAGGCTCCTCTGCTGGGCAGCCTGTGTCTCCTGGGGGCAGGTGATTCCTCAGACGCCAAGCAGTCTCATTGTGTGTGTGTGTGTGTGTGTGTGTGTGCGCGCGCATGCGTGTGTGTGTGTGTGTGTGTGTGAGACGGGTGAGAGAGAGATGACTATAGTTGTTTTTCTTATTCAGTTCCCAATTTCTGTCTCCACAGATCACACAGGTGCTGGAGTCTCCCAGTCCCTGAGACACAAGGTAGCAAAGAAGAGAAAGGATGTAGCTCTCAGATATGATCCAATTTCAGGTCATAATGTCCTTTATTGATAACGACAGAGCCTGGGGCAGGGCCTGGAGTTTCCAATTTACTTCCAAGACAAGAATGCAGCAGACAAACTGGGGCTTCCCTGTGATTGGTTCTCTGCAGAGAGGCCTGAGGGATCTGTCTGCATTCTGAAGATCAAGCGCACACAGCAGGGGGACTCGGCCATGTATCTCTGTGCCAGCAGCTCAGCCACAGCGTGGCAGAGTCACTTCCTTCTTGCTCACAAACCTCATCCTTCTCTCTCCTTGCAGCTCCTGCAAACCCTTAACAGAGGCTTTGCTCCTCTGTTTGCTTCTCCTTCTCCAGGAGAAAGAAATAGATTTGGACCTCAGCTGTCCACAGATTCACCCCTGAGACACAGTAACTGTAAATGTGGGTGGTGGAAGCAATCGTGGCCCATCAGGCTCCAGGAGTCCTCAGAGCCAACTCACTGCTCTAAGGCAAGCACTGGGTGTCTTAGCCTCGGCCTTCAGGGCTGGGACACGCAGTTTTCTTCGGGGCTGGGAGGTTGCTGCCCACATACGGAAGCTTCGGGCATGGGCGGGGAACAGGCCTCTTCCCTTGCATGTGTTGGGGCATCTGGCATCTGCAAGGTCTGATGCTTCATCCACAAGAACATTCATTCTTTCTTCTGAAGCCTCTTCTATCCCTGTCACATTGGAAGTTTTCTGCATACAGGGGCACACCATTCTTCATGTTTGACTTGAACGTCTTTGTGGCTTTTGTGGCTGTTACTTGATGAATACAGCCATGATAACAACAAGACTTCGTTTCTTCTGCCTAGTGTAAGCAATGTGTGTTCTTTATTTTGTTTTCCATTACCACTGCTCCTGTCCTGGGAGACTGAAGCTGCGTGCACGACTGCTCCAGTGTCAGCTTGGCTCCCTAGGAAATGGCGTTTCTAGAACCTGAATGCTGACAGATAAGAGTTGTATATATGTATACCATGCAACCTGCCATTTAAAAATGTATGTCCGTAGTGCAATGACTCAATCTAGCTAATTAACATATACAGTACCTCAATCCTTATCCTTTCCAGTGGTGAGAATACTTGAAATGTACTCTGTTAGCATTTTCCCAGAATACAATCCACTGCTACTAACTCTAGTCATTTGTTGTATAATAGATCTTTGTAACATCTTCGTCTTATCTGAGTGAAATTTTGTATCTGTTGAGCAACATCTTCCCAACAGTCCATCTCTACTCCAGCCTTTGCTAACTACCGCTCTAGTCTTTGGATTTGAAGTAATTTCCCTGAGGTCTTTAACTCAAGACGATGGGGGAATTTTCTCTATAATGATGCTTATATTACTTTTGTTTTGTTTGTTATTTTACATCTTGCAATATAGGGTT